GTGGGTACTTAGGAGGGAATCGTGATAGCAAGGTCTTAGTTTTCCTGGGTACAGAATTGAAGGCTGTTTATATCAGGGTTTTAGTTTTTAGACTAAAATTGCATCGCCGCGGAGCGAGGTTTTAGTTTGTTTGGGTCTTAAGTTCAGAAATAGTTGGATCACTGAAGGGTTTAGTCTCGTGCGGCTCAGATTAAATCCCTGGATGGTGCTTGTTTGATCAGGAACATGCATATTGAGTGTCCATTAACTTTAGGGTATTGTTCAAGACACGTGCGGCTTATATCGGTTAGGAACTTCTATCTTTTGTTTATTCATCTACAACTCTTATTAATTCCTGCCTTCCTCCATCCATCACCTCAACGTTACCCAACATCTTTTAAATTAAATAATTGAGCATCCTTACTTTGCACTATGCACACCCCACCCGCTTTCTGTTCTGTGCTAGTTCCCACCCAACAAGAATCCGTCAGATTGCTGACAGTTTTAAAAAGGCGGTAACATTTAACAGAAATAACTCGCGCTGAATTTAAGGTTTAACAAAGTATATTCTCGTATGAGCTGTTAAACACATTTCTATCCATCCAGTTAGGATAGTTGACTCAGATCTGTCTGAAGGGGGCACGTGGACGAGCATGTGAAAATTGACGTTAAAATTGAGCTATATAATAAGTACATTCCCAATATGTAGCAAAACATACCTCCCGCCTGTGTGTGACTAGGTGTTCAAAAAGATGAGATACCGTCAACTTTTATATAGTTATATACACAATGGTACTACTTTTATAGAAACCCTACTCTAAATTTTGAGTTTCAATCATCACTGACTAGTATATAACTTTTCTTTATCGGCGATCGAAATGATTTTCGTCTTTTTTGTCGGAGGCATTTCTTTCCACAATGTCTGGATTCTTAATTTATAAATTCTTGCAAACGTGAAATGCAAAGCCATTTCAAAACAGCTATCTATAAACCTGCATCAAAGAATTAGGGTTTGTATTTATTTCCCAAAATACCCCCATTATTTCCGTTCTACCTGACCAATACTTCACATACCATTACACATGTCAACACCTACCATTACACATATCAACACTACACTGACATACTTCACAACTGTTGCCAGAAGCACTTGTAAATAACAGCTTGTTTGTTTTTACAATTTCTCAATAATCATTGATCTTGGAAATTATAACAGTGCTTGATGAAATGTTTATGGCCAGAATGGTTTATAATTCAATGTTCAAGTAATAAATAGTTTAGTAACAAACAGTAGGACAATAGTTCATGCCGTTTAAAAACCTAAGGTTACTGACATGCCCTTTCATCGGAATTGTTACTGCTTTCAACAGAGCATTTGTTTGACCGAAATTGTAAATTTAAAGTAGGAACGCTTAACTTTCACTAATTGTTAACCGTGAAATTTTGCTTTGATTTTGAGCTATGAAATTATAGTTAGATCTCAGAGCAAAACAAAAGTTTGCACTGTAGACCAAGTTTTAAACACGTGTTAGTATCTAACACGTCTTACTTAGACTTACAATTATGTAGTAGCATCATGCCATGAGACAACTTAAAAACTGTTGAACATTTGAACCATTTCAAACATATCGGTAACCTATGGATAACAATGGGTAGACATGAATTATTGATTGTAGCTTCATTTCCATAACATTTCTTTGGAAACATCTGTGTGATTGCACCGGAAACAACAGATTACGTTTGTGAATTTTATGGTTTCAAATCAGTACCACATTGGTGTAAGCTCTACTACACCAAATTTTGAGAAACTCGGAGAGCAAATGGACGAAGCGGGTTTGTCAGGACACCACTCCATTTCATATTCATTGTAATTGCCAATTTATCCAACTACCGGTTATAAGATTAGCGTTGTCTAGACAACGCTGCTCTTAGGGGTTATACTGTTATACTGTTAACACTTGTTTTTATATCATGAATACGATGTAGTTACATTGAAACGTAGAGTAAACTCCTTTCCCTAATAAGAGCATTTTTACTTGTCGCAGTAACCGGGATAAAGATAATTTTACACAGAATACATTACAACAATTCGACTCATAAACAATACTCCAATCCGAATTTTATACTAGTAGTAGGTACTAGGAGAAGCTAGGACTACTTTGTAACTGATCACTTTATCGTATCAAGGTGTACTCTCGTCGTATCAGCCTGATTGACAGATTCCAATGTACCGGCAGTATGCAGTGATATCGTTAGTGTTTCACGTTGTATTGTATGACTGTTGTGTTATTAAATCCTGTCGTTTACCAGCATGAGTCACACGATAATAGGTAATAAGTTCAGTAATTACAGAGATTTATACCAGGTTGGGAGAGCGGTTTATAATCCCCGGGTGGGGGGGGGGGGGGGGGGGGGGGGGGCAGCAGGTGGTTGCAGGGGGCGGGGGGAGGCAGGTGGTTGCAGGATTCCTACTACCGGGTAACCGCTTTGTGCTGCTTTATATATTCAGCTGGTTTATTCGCTTACTCTACCCGGCCAATCTTGTGACTAATGCCATGAAATGCATTGTCAGTCATAATTCACAGTCCCATTTCTATGTGCCAAGTCATTTTATGTAAGTTCCGTGTTGTACATCTTGTGTTTTTATGGCCTCCAAATCTACACCCTGTATGCTCTACCTGAAAAAGTACATCTGCACAACAACGACTTGTATCTTTATAATATCTTGTTTTCACGGGCTTGTTGATACTCATATTTTAGTTGATTGCAGTTTCATCACATCGTCATTAATATTATAATAGACCTCAAATAAAGTGCTTTATACTGTTATAGTTGTATCTTGTTGCTCTCAATATATTTGGTCTCCGTGGATATGTTTGAGCCCTGCATTCATTTTGACACAATTTCTCACACATATCAGTTTTCGAAATGAAACTTCCACTTTCTGTTGTCATTGACAAATTCAGGACTAGCATTTTTAGTAACAGTTCGATAATATAGAGATATAGCTGGTTGACGGCAATAATGGACAGCTTAGTAACAGGTCCGTTGCGTTTTGTACCAGAATGCCGTAACAAATAAAACGTTTTATCTCAGTTTGATGACAATTCATCAGCGGAGTGACATTCGGAGACAAAGTGTTGGACAAGATGTAACATGCATGTACGGGATCCAGAAAAATCGTATGAATTAAATAACAATAGTCCGATAAGACAAAGTAACACAAGTAAACCCAGCAGATCCAACTCAGTGCAGCCCATCATTACAAGGTATGCGATAACGTCATGATTACCATCACTATGTTGACAGGGTTGCATTACTAGGGTAACTTCACAAGGGTAACAGCACTAAGGTAACATCACTAGGGTAACAGCACTAAGGTAACATCACAAGGGTAACAGCACTAAGGTAACATCACAAGGGTAACAGCACTAACGTAACATCACAAGGGTAACAGCACTAAGGTAACATCAAAAGGGTAACAGCATCAAAGTAGCATCACCAGGGCTACGTAACAAGGGTAACAGCACCATTAAATTCGTTCCTCAGGGAGGAGTCCTCCCTCCCCGACGTTCAGATATCTTACACCTGCCGCAGGGGCGCAACCCTATTCTCCAAAAGCGTGAGACGTGAGGTACATGAACATCCTGAGGATGTTACATCCTCATTCCCCTCGGGCATTCTTTTGTAAGGACATGAACGTACCGTTTACAAAATTAATAAAATCACGACATTTTGAATCTTCACGATGATGGAGATTAGTGATTCGTCTTCTTTCTACAGAACTGAATTCCGAACACTTGCATCTAGCATCAGAGCTATAACAGGCCATCACCAAACGCTGCCGCCGATAAATTTACACGCCTTAGTCGAATAATAAACGGCGTAAGATTAATCAGCATTAGTCCAGCATAAATGCAAATTCAAAATTGCAATTGAATATAGTATTCAATTCCCGGTCCATTCTATTTCGGGTAAATCATCGATTCGCATGGAATTTCACTACAGCACACATGTGACGAGATACAATATGTAATTCATCAAGCTCAGCGTTGAAGACGAAATAAAGCTATTGCGCATAAACGTCAACGTTCAATAAATTTATTATTAAATCTAATCAGCTTTGTGTAAAATACAAATTCTTATAAGATATTTTGAATTTGTCCTTAAAACTTGACAAGAAAACAAATGAAGTAGTATGTAACAGTGTGTATATGTGTAGTATGTAGTATGTAAGAATTAACGCAATAATAAGGAAGATATGCACTCCTACATGGGCAGTAATGCCAGAAGACAGAGTACTACAAGTAGACTCAGCAGATCCCACTCAGCACAGCCCAGTCTTCCGAGGTTTGTTTGTTGAAACCTGGAGGTTACTAACAATCACCAGGGTAACAATCACCAGGGTAACATCACCAGGGTAACAATCACCAGGGTAACAATCACCAGGGTAACAATCACCAGGGTAACAATCACCAGGGTAAAAATCACCCTAGGTAACATCACCAGGGTAACAGTATCACTAATATATTCCAGTTTTAAACTTTTAACAAATGTTCTAATATCTATTTTATTCGAGTGCTTGTATAATTGTGAAACTTTCCGTCAAACATAAAGCTTACAATAGTTCCATTGAACAGAATCTATGGGTAACTGAATACAAATGACGCCATAGATCTTGAATTGTGATAGCAAAATGATGTAGCTACTTTATTTTTTACGCTTATCCCCTAATTCGATGCATTACATTTTATGCAAGTATATTGTTTTATTGTTTAAAGCAAATACAATAGATAAAGTTGAGAATCTTATGTAAATGCGGAACTACTCTTGATGTCACGCTCTATCATGTTGCTTGTGATTTAAGTTTATTACCTCCGACTCTTCTCGATTTTTAGCAAGTTGTCAAATATGTTGACTATGGATCTGTGTCCTGTAGGTTGACCTCAGAGATTCTGAATCGTCTTCATGGGATCGGAAAATTGCGTGAAAAAATGCAACTCCCTCACTCCCTCAGCTCATTTGGAAGGGTATACTTGATTACGTTGTACTAGTACGGTATGACCTTACGTAAAGCAGACGCTATATATCCAGTCACCTTTTTTTCAAGTGTACATCTTTTCGCAACCAATTTTTCATGTCTATTATTCTGAATAGAAGGTCTACAGTCTAGTTTATTCCACGTTACTATCAAGTTCGAAAACTGGCTTTGACATTAAGGACATTATTAAAGGCTTGTGTAAACTATCGATACCTTTACTATAAATGTTGCCATGCCTCTATTCCGGCGCTCATTAGATTAGAATTGCCAGGTCATAGGGGTCCACCAAACTAAATTTATCTTGGCACGTTTACGTTGCTGGAGGTTCTAAGGGTTCGTTAGCTGGCTGTTAAACAGGTACAAGGGTATACTTTGCGTAATAAAGTTAAACTTAGCACACTTTCTTATTGCCATATACCGATTCGTTTTTGTTCAGTTTCCTCTGATGCTCTGAAGTTTGACCTTTTCCTGCAAAAGGCTTAATTGTACCGTGTAGTACCATTTAACGTTTTTGCCAACATCGCTATGTGCAGTGATAATCTGTTTTGACTCTGATGTCGAAGAAAGTTCAATTCGGCTATTCTCCGTGGGTGTAGTAGTATAACATTGTTAAAACGCAGTATTTCTTTCTTAGTTTTCGGCTGAAATTGATTGTGAACAGTATTTAATTCCGTCGCCTTTCCGCTTTTTGGTCGCCATGCTAAAGTCATGAAAATCACACCGACCAGACTAAAGAGAGGATTTAATAACGATTAACAGGGAAATATTTCAGTATCAGTCCCGTGCCAGTGGTGGTATCGCCGAATAACCATGTGGGAGGTCACAACCTGAACAATACACTTTCCCCTCCCACCCCCGACATACAAATGTCTAACACCTGCCGCAGGGGCACAACACCCTTCGTCAAAAGCAGGTACGTTATATTAAGTACAATTGTTCTGACAATTTTTTTGTGTTAGAACAACTTACCGTTGACAAATATACTGTAGTAAAAACACAAGATGATGGAGTTTTACAATGCAAGAGTCTATGTTGACAATTGATCTGTAATTTTGGATTTTTATGTTGTGTAACAACCGTACTATGCTGTTTCTAAGCAAATTGACAGGAATGGGAAGTTAACCTCCTAATTGGGAAACACATCCTTCAGGCTTCATTAGTCGTTATACTGTTATATCCCGCATTCTTCACAGCCATCAGCCAGAAATCCTGCCTTTATTAGCTGGCAACCAAGCTTCTCCGATACTATAAATTGTTTTGATAGTACTTAAACTTCCTGTGTTTAGATTGTGGGCACCTCTAACTTATATTAGTCCGTTATTGTCACGTGATATGAGTTCAGTGCGCTGATAGGTCAGCCTGGAAAAGGGGACCGGCATGTAAGAAATTATAAGTTGATAAGTTGATATTCATTGACTTTTAACATTTTTGCTTTTCAAACATTTTAATAACTAACGGCCATAGCTCTTTAGCCGGCCCCAACTTAAAGTAGAACCGCTTTAATCTCCACTTGTTCTACTGTTTTTCATGCTAATTCTTCTGTCCATTTCAAATAGTAATACTGACAAGCCGAAATACCTTGAAGGTCAATTGAATGCGGAATGCTTGGATCCGTGGACCGACAAATGAAGAACTTCATGCTAGTAAACAACGGGGAGAAGATCGTGTACCCAAGCAGTGACAGAATCACCATTAACGTGTGTCAGTACCTAATTTTTACTAACATTTAATATATCGCCACCTTCTTTTACGTTATTATTTTCTCCTTATTTAATATCTGAAAAAACACGCTGTCTCAGTCTGATATGTGAACCACGTACGGCGATATTCAAAATATCAGATCGCAGGTGCACTAGATTCTAAAATATCCGTCAAAATAATGAACAGTCGTGTAATTAACACATAAATTCTTTCCTCAGCGGGTAAAATATTCGAGACCTCCCTGGTGGATCTGAACAAGTTTCCAGACACCCTGCTCGGGAATCACGATGCGAGGAAACAGTACTACGACATTTTCCGCGACGAGTACTACTTCAACAGAAATCAGATTGCTTTTGACTCTATTCTGTATTACTATCAAACAGGTAGAACCCTTTTTACTGTTAAAACCTTGAGGTTTTGAGGTATTGTAGAAACCATATCGAACGATGCATTCCCTTTTTTCATAATTTGCAGCTGAACAACGTAATGTCCTGTGACTTGTCACGTCTAGGTGGATCTATAAAGTCTAGACACCTCCTATACATTTGTGACAGGATTTCGCAAAGGACACTAGACGGTTGAAACCATATATTTAGGTGGGGATTATCCTCTTCCTTAGCATGATCTACATCGCCCTAGGTGGGGACATATACCAACCTGAGGGGTTGCCCGACATCGTTTTCGAAAGAGAGCTAGAATTCTTCCAGCTGATCGACGGTACTTGTGGTGAGTCACAAGGAGAGAGCCCGGAACCGGACATGACTCATAGCCAGCTTATCAGGTATCATCTTATTGTTATCTTATTATCAGGTATCCGTACCAGGGAGAGATGATATTAAAAATATCCGTACCTTCATGGGAAATAGCTTTAATTCTCGAAATACAAGATTACATAAAAGTAACATCGCAGAGCATATTTTGCATAATTAGTTGTATAGTTAAACTGTTTTGCACATCTACAACCTAACCCCTTCAACGCATGTTGATCATTTCATGGCCATTCTTTTGAAAAATAGTACAACTCTTGCAGTATTCTTGTCGTCACTGAAGACTCTTAACGAACTATTTCCTGCAGTCAGTCGGTTGGATTTCAGCGCTGGAGGTCCGCTTTATGGGGTTTTGTGGAGTATCCAAAGTCGTCCATTCCAGCCCGAATTTGGGCTTACAGTAATATACTCATTATCGTTATCAGCGTGGTAAGGCTTTACGATGAAATTCTCAATTTCTGTAAATTTTATTTATTGCCCTAATTACTTGTAGCCATGGTAAATCGTTAAATAGTGTGGATTAAACAAGTCTTAAAAAACATGAATTCATGAATAATTTATCAGTGTCAACAACTTAATCAATCGTACGATAATTTATTCATTTTACAGTAAATATTAAAATCATCCTGCAGATTAACTTGATATGGGAGAGTATTCCAAAGTACCGAAACGATACCAGCATCGAAACCTTTTTTCATAGTGGACACTGTCTGTGTGTCTTACTTCACACTTGATTTGGTTCTTAGAATTGTAAGAAACTATCAAATCAACTGTCTTTTCAATATTAAACAGTTTTGATATTATGCGTATTTAATAATTTGAGCATGTTGTAATCTTTAAAAATTTCTACGTAGATAATGTGTCAATATGAATTACGATTTTAGTTTACGGCATTAAAGTAAATGACTAATTTCAGATAAGCACACCGAGTTTAGGGAATTTCCTAAAAGTTGTTCTTAACTGGTTTGATTTCCTCGCTATTGTGCCATTTTACGTCGAACTTATTGTCGGAAGAGAGAGTGCATCAGGTAATAGTTAATACTATATTCTGTCTGTTCATTTCAGAGGTTTTGAGAACAGCTAAATCGATAAAACCCTATGAAACGCAAAGATTTATCGCTTATAATTGTATTTGTTGGCTGGAAATCAAATTAGGCCAATAATCATGGATATTGTCCGTTGCGAAGATTATAATAGAATTGGCAAGACCTAGCTATTGCTTATAAGTTATATAACTCTTAAAATTTTAAAAACATTTGTTTCCCAGGCTTGGCAGCATTCAGAATATTAAGGTTATTCAGGATAACGAGGCTATTCAAACTTATACGCCACTCTTCGAGGATGATGCTGATGATGGAGGTAACCGCATCTATTAGTATTTATTTAATTTAGTTAATTATTAATTAGTTTTGTCAATGCAGCCACATCGTTATCATTGTACATACAATCACAGAATGTAATATTTTCTCCGTAAGACCTCTGAAAGCTACCCGTACATTTTACTGGTTACATTCGATTTTTATTTCATGAATGAAGTTTGCATCAACAGTTTCAATATTGAGGAAAAAATCAGACAACCGTATGAAGATAAAATCATTAAACTATATGAGCATAGTTACAGACCCCACACTCAAACCACCATGTGACATATTTGGATGAACCATTTATACATTTATACATGATTTGTATCCCACTCATAGTTGCTATACCTCCATGAAACAATAAATTGCAGATTTGAATCCACATTTTGACTCACCAATATAGGTGGTGAGCAGCTGTTTATCAGAGCTGGGGATGCTGTTTCTTACCTGGGTCATGGGAACCCTCATCTTCGGAACCATAATGTTTTATATTGAGGAAAGTGCCGAATCAGACTTCAAAAGGTTGGTGTGCAAATTGTGTGTTTCCTTGATAATATTCGATATCTTTTAATGTCAAAGGAAAAACATCAATTGATTTCTTATTTAATTGATATAATTGGTATTAGTGATCTGAACCCTCATCAACATTGATCTTATCTAAACATCCCTGTTTAGTATTTTACACGCGTGCTGGTGGGCGGCAGTTACCATGACGACAGTCGGCTACGGAGATCTCTATCCCAAAACTCCTCTCGGTCAATCTGTTGGCTCTATTATCCTCTTCCTTAGCATGATCTACATCGCCCTACCAATGACACTAATAGTGAGCAAGTTCAGCTCCACGCTCCAAGCCCATCAAGAACAAGTCTCTGAGAAGCGCAGAAAGTTTAAGAAAATTCCCAATAAAGACCATCATGCAGGATTCTTTTGATAAAATGGGGGATAAGGTGTAGATTTCTACCTGCAATATCAAACATACAACTACTAGCTAATCAGTTATATCACTAACGGGATCGCAGTTCATCATTTAGCAAGATGGATAAGAGGCTGACTAAATGAATGTATTATTTTGATACGAACACTGCTGCGCGTGAGAAAGGTTTGTTTGAGACATGCCCAACCTCTTCAGCCGAATAATCTGGGTTGAAATTTAACCTAACATTTCTTACAGTTGCAAAGGTCTATTGTCTACACTCTACAGTCACATTTAGACGGTTTGACGATATCGTATCTTTATTGGATATGTTTATTATAATCAGTTTTATAAATGAATTAGGGACGCTGATCCATTACGTTCCATCTCGGCAAAGGGGGTTATTTTTCCTTTTTCCCGACAAAAGTTTTGCATGAATTTTTCAGAGTATTAGTCGATTCTTGAAAATCAATGAAACGTTTATATGGGTATGACGTTTGTCATTTGAACACTAAATCGCAAAAACGGCAAGATTTCTATAGTTTTATTGGAAAAGTACACGCTGTGCATGCCCCGAGGTGTGTTTCTGAGAATGTTCTGCACACTTTGCAGTCTCTGCTGATGATAAATGCTTATTTCAACAGTTATACCAGTTTTATATCATATATTTACGTCGCCTCACTTGCATGAATAATATCATCTGGATATATTCCACGCGGAAATTTCCATGGGTACAGAAGTTATTATATTCTTAGAGAAAGTAGACAATGTAATCTGTCTGGTCTATTTATCTAATTGGTAAATTGAGTAATCTATGTGGTAACTAGTGGTAACTAGTGGTAACTAGTGCTTGTTTCCATGGATTCACCACTCAAATTATATATTAGGCGTCCAATTCTTTATTCTCCTTATCTAGTTATCAGTGTCACAGTTGTCTACGATGTTCAAGTTTATAAATTGTTCCAAAAATGTATTCGAAATTGGATTTTTATGGTTTAATTCAACCTGGTTAAAATCATTATCAATATCCAATGGTCCTTGCCATACCTGGCTTGGTCCTAAAGATTTGTTACAGGAAAATGACAAATTTTGAAGCTCGCTTACTGTTATTGTTGGTCGGGTAAGATTTTTGATCACCAGTACCAAGTACTCTAACCCAAACCTCGGTTGAGAAGAGGGTGATGAAACTTTAAGTACTCGCAAAGTATAATTTGTTGGGCTATAGTACCATGGATTTTTACTTTTTCTACAGACATAATTGGATTGTGAATCCAGGATCGGGAGTGAAATTTCGACTCTAAGCGATATAATGACTCATGACTGACTAATTACAAACATTACCAACTAGTTTTGTAAAAACGATTATTCTGATCACTTTCAATCCAAATGATCTATTTTGTGGCTGCAAACCTGGAATGTTGAAACCGACTAAGATTCTGTGAGTGACATATTTTCCACAAAGGCACCATTTAGTAGCGACGGTTGCGGGTTCGCATAATTTTACGTGTATTTTTTGCATTTTGAGGTGTAATTTGTTGCAAAATATCTAGACTGGGTGCCCACCAACATCTATAGTTAAAACACCTCAACCTTGAGCATATAAATTTCAAACTATAAACCTTTTTTGTAACAAAGAAGAAAGCTTAGCTTAGATTTATGAAAACATGTTTTTTCAATGAACACTTCTAGCTGTTTTCTATACTATATAAATATTTTAAATTTGACGAAATTTTCCCGGCAACGGCAAAAAACTCAACAAATTGACCAAAAAGTGACCTTTCGCAATTCACATTGACCAATTTTAGCTTGCAAATGGAGTTGAAAGCTCGCAATTTTTAGAAAGGTCGTAAAAAATGTGCAGCCATTACCAATTATATATGGACACGTTCATTGAAGTTTGAGGATATTGGTAAATATTAGTGACCCTACTGAATGGCACGATGATGTAAAATGTGTCACACTATGAAACTATATAAACCCTCTAACCCTAAGATAATCGTTTCATCATCTAGATAAACTTTGTCGCATAACGATATCTTTATCAGACGATAAGATATCGCTTAAATGCGGCCGGCAGTGAGTTGTAAACTTTGTCACACTATAAAAACGTGACGGAGTTTATATGGACCCCTTGTTGCCGTGTTTGACCAAATTTTCGAATTTCCAATTCATAGAATAGCTGTATATGACTATTATCTACATATTTAGCGACTTTTTTCCTTAAATGGTAGCACCATGTAAACTCCGTCACACATTTAAGAAATTTATATGAGGGATGTTTATGACATCCTGACAAGAAATGCCGAATAGTCTAGCATTATTTTGTGAGCTGAATGTGTTTGGAATTGTTCACATATTTCATTGTTATACGCAAATACAAATACAGAAGGCAGAAATAGGTAAATTTAGTCACATAAATTTGTATGATATCTCAACATGTGTTAAATTGAGTAAATATTAGTATACCAACTTAAACGCCCTATATTACGTACTATGGATCAATTAACAATATTTCAACCATACGCCGGTCATATATAAATTATTATATGGCAGTGATATGTTAACATTGGATAAATTTCAACACCTGAACAGGGTAAAAATTTGTAAATTTCGTCACAAAAAAAATATTATAACTTTATTTGCTCCGTGTTGGCAAAATAACTTATTTATCGACATAGTGATGGTGATAAAGTAACATTATATACTAATTGAGGTATGATTCTTCAAAATAGGGGCAAGAAATGTAAATTTCGTCACATCAGCCATTGCATTAGTTAGATAGATTTTCTTTCATATCAACTGCCCTTATTATAGTTGGAATGGATTTATACAGGAAATATAGAAACCCATGCCCATTTTTCATCACATTGAAATTATACTGTTGGGGCAGGAAAAGTAAATTTTGTCACATTTCGGTAAATTAGTGACTCAGCATTGTTAAACTTGGGTTCTGATTTGCTGAAAAATAACCTACCAATAATTATTAATTCAGAGATAAGGAAATATAGAAACCCATAACCATTTTTCATCACATTGAAATTATACTGTTGGGGCAGGAAAAGTGAATTTCGTCACATTTCGGTAACTTAGTAAAATTAAACTCAGAATTGTTAAACTTGAGTTCTGATTTGCTGAATAATAACCTACTAATAATTTATGGAAGAATATTGAATTCTAATCGGGGTATGGTTCTTCAAAATAGGGTCAAGAAATGTAAATTTCGTCACATACGTCATTGTAAAATTTAGATACATTTTCTTTCACATCAACAGTCCTAATTATAGTTTGAAATGATTAATTCAGAGATAAAGGAAATATAGAAACCCATGACCATTTTTCATCACATTGAAATTATACTTTTGGGGCAGGAAAAGTGAATTTCGTCACATTTCGGTAACTTCGTATAATTAAACTCAGAATTGTCAAACTTGAGTTCTGATGATCTGCTGAATAATAACCTACTTATAATTCCTGGAAGAATATTGAATTCTAATCGAGGCATGTTTCTTCAAAATAGGGTCAAGAAATGTAAATTTCGTCACATCAGCCATTGCATTAGTTAGATAGATTTTCTTTCATATCAACTGCCCTTATTATTATTGTGACCATTTTTACATCAACTGCCCTTAACTTGAATCAGCTCTATCCGTGCATCGTCCTTATATACAGTTTTCCCGCCTTCCAAACCAAAATCAGATATAAATGATTTCGGCAATTCACCCAAAATTTTAAATTCCATATAATGTGACAGAATTTACATCATTTCCCAATAAGTGCATGTATTTGCTAACTTTTCAAAACAACATATTTTAGGGCTATGATTAGTAGAAAAACCATCAAATGATGAGTTGAAAAGATTTTGAGGACACCTCACAGTAGAAAAGAGGTATCGTATTCTGAGTGTGACAAAGTTTACGAAATATTGCCTTAAAACCGTTCGATCCCTGCCCTTTAGCCAAATGTTGTATCATAATTGTTAGAATGACCTAATCTACTATATTTTAAACCAAAAAATACTAATTGGGCAGCTATGGTTAACACAGTCACAAAAATGTGACATTTTTTATATTATAGTGCCTAAAAACAATAAATTGTATTTCTGAGCCGTGTATATGGAAGTATGGGTCACGTGGCTTATGTACAGAACTTCTGAACACGCTATTTTTTTGGTTTACCAATATCCTTAAACTTCAACATGAACGTGTCCATTTACGATTTCGTATCATTTTGTGACGATGTTTACATCAACTGCCGGGCTATACAGTATACTTCAATCAACTGTATCCGTGTATCGTCCTCATATAGAGTTTTCCCGCCTTCCAAACCAAAATCAGATATAAATAATTTCGGAAATTCACCCAGAATTTTAAATTCCATATAATGTGACAGAATTTACATCATTTCCCAATAGCCAAGTGCATGTATTTCAAGTTAACCTTTCAAAACAACATATTTTAGGGCTATGACTGGCAGAAGAACTATCAAATAATGAGTTGAAAGGGTTTTATGGACACCTCACAGTAGAAAAGAGGTCTCGTATTCTGAGTGTGACAAAGTTTACAAAATGTTGCCTTAAAGCCGTTCGATCACTGCCCTTTAGGCCTACATTGTATCATAATTGTTAGATTGACCTAATCTACTATATTTTAGACCAAAAAATGCTAATTGGGCAGCTATGGTAAACAATGTCACAAAAATGTGACATTTTTTACATAATAGTGCCTAAAAGCAATACATTTTATTTTTGAGCAGTGCATATGGGAGTATGGGTCACGTGGCTAATGTTCAGAACTTATGAACACGCTAGATTAATATATGTTAAAATTAAACCACTATCGTCAAAAACGCTGTTTTAGAAATTTACCAATTTCCTCAAACTTCAATGAACGTGTCCATATACTAGCAGGAGCCCGTCAAACCTTTAAGACTGGTGTCAAGGTTCTTTGGTGGCCGGATCAGTTTCCTATTCTAAAGTCTCCCAGTGAAAATAATTATTACCTATTTAATTCGAATTTTTGACACCACTTGGGGGTCCAAATTTTGGGTACTAAAATTCTTATTCCTTGGCCAATTTTCAATTTTTTCATGCTGATTTGAAGGCCATTAAAGCATTTGAATTAGTTAAAAAAGTTTCAGTTTTATATCTTGTACGGTTTTTTGCAGAAACCCGTGTTAAAGTTGATGCCGTGGTGTCAGTAAAATGGTGCGGATAAATAAATATATATATATCGTCTCGCTTTATATATAGTAAGATATAGCATTTCTTATACAGTGTTCGATGTCTGTGTGAAGGTTAAATGGTGACATCCTCTGGATCCGGCAGAGGGTCCGTAGTAGTCCCATTATACCTTAGTATTGTTGTACAACTACTATAACTTGATGAATTATGATACGACTCGGACTAGCTCAATGCTCATATTTACACTGATCACGATTCACGCTTTGACTATTTTCAACTTAACGATCAGCGGGTTTTTATTATTACATTTATATAATACTAAATACTAATAGTCGAATAATATCAGTGATTTATAAATCACTGAAAATAAAAATGATAGGGCCTGTCATGATATCATGGATCGCTTAGGTTCCACCAGGAACTGGTAGTCCTCATAATTCTGCGGCCTCTATGTATCGTCATCTCGCACAACTCCGTAAGACCCTTGTGAGTTTGGCATGTGAAAATTTGCAGCCTTCCAGACATTGATTGGGTTAACGAGGTTTCGTACGTCACCTCAAGATCGGGTGACAGGGGGCTGACCAGGCCAGAACCCAATTGATTGGGTCTGTGGTAACGTTATTATGAGCCTGAG